GGTCGTCCAGTGTTTCCAGGTTTTCCATGGTGGTCTAGCCTTAATTGACTCATGATCTCAACTATTAAAATAATGCGTAAAAGCCAACATTACTAAGTGTATATATACACTACTGCTATTCGCATACTACTCGAGCAATCACTATCTTTGATGTTACAAAAATTGTTTCTGTCAAGTTATTTACACAAAAATTAATATTTAATTTACATCTCATTTTTCTTTATCTTAATGTCCTATTTCTCTGTTTAATGACTTCCCACAATTTATAAAATTATATAGGGAACAAATCAGTATTATGCAGTGTAATATGAAACATGTACATCAGTTGTGTAATTACTGAATGAGCAGGAGTAGAGTTATATATTGTAAGAATTTTTATGTTAAACAATGTCATGCTATTGATTAAGGTTAGTTAAAACTAAAATTAAAGCCGAATAACATAAATTCATTATATTTCGTGGTTTCTCATCAGCTGCTTACAACCATCTATGTAATAAAATGTAACATTGATATATATATAAGAATAGGTGAGGTCATTTGGTGATGGAATTCAAAAACAACGGGGAAGGTGAGGCACTGATCAAATGAAGTCCAGAAACAGATAAGATAAATTGTGTGATAATTATAGAACTTGTGTGGAATTTATGAAATATTCAAATCACTTGAAAATAAATATGAAAGACATTTGGTTGTGACTTAATAATTGTCTAGAATAAGAAACTGATAAGGTGGGTTACATAATAGTTAAACAGGACTTGAAGAGTTTACATATGTTTGGAAATGAAGTGAACTGAAAAACAGATGAATGAAAGGATGATTTTAGTATATATAAAATAAGAACTAGTTTGGGGAAGACCATATAACAAAATCATTACTAAAATACTAATAATGACAATAACAGAAAACTATGATTTACCAACGTAGTGATAAGCTTATAAGCAAAGATGGATGGTGGCTAGTAGTGGAATCCAGGACGTGCGTTTCGTTCAATTTGGAACTCGTAAGATGGATATACCTCCTTATAATGCTTGTGACTTAGGGCAATCCGCACATAATGAACATATGCCAATAAGAGACTGATCAATCGCATTCCCAAACATCAATGGGAAGATTTAAACAAACAATACAAAATGTAGTGATAAGTTATTTACTCTCTCTTTCTGGACACATGACTCAGGTTTGAGTTTCGTTATTGCTACTGCTTCGCCAAAGCTGAAAGACGCTGCTATTTTTGTCTGGAGATAATCCTTTGAAACGCGGATATAGGAAGCACGTCTTTTCCTCTGTATCGTATTTGACACGTGATTTGTTTCGGCATACTTCTTGATGAAATTTATAGGAAGCTTGAAATAGACAAAGCTTAAAGACGCAATCGAACACTAGACCCTATTGTAAACATATTGATGACATATATCTTGTGTGCAACAATCAGAAGCCAACTATGTACCTACTCAATCTGTTTAACAATGTACATAATAATATAAATTTTACTACCGAACATGAAGTAGAAGGTAAATTTTGTACCTTAGATATTCGAATAAAACGAAGTTCAGATAGCACTCCACAAAGATACATCCACCGGAAAAATACATAAAGTGGAGTTTATCTTGTGGTGGCTGGTATTATATCAAGCCCACAAAAGTTATACCAGCTTCTGGACAGGCCAATTTATTCATTCTTCTCAAGCCATATTTTGACCTTGTTAATTATTCGTTTATTAATCCTGACTTTTTATATGACATGAGCGCATGTGTGTTAATTCTTCATTACGTGTCTCTAACTTATTTTTGTCTGAATTTAAATATTGACACGCTTAATCAAAAAAAGTTGGCTCACTCGTCTTCTCCGCTGCGTGTCACCTCGTTTCGATTCTGTCTGAATCAATGAGTTTATGAAATATACATATACATATTCAATACTCATTCTCGTATTTTGCTTACTTTATTCCGTTATTCTCTAAGGCGAATGTAGTCGATAAAAATATACGAGGGTTGGCGACATGTACATTTCAATAACAATCAGCATTCGATTTGGCTGGTGTCAGATATAGGACCACTAAAATCCAAACTACAACAGCTTCTGTCCAATAAATTACAAGAGGGATTTTACGAAACCCTTTTGACCGCTCTCGTGCTCAAAGAAAAGCCTGAAAGAACTTGCTCATGCATAAATGCACGTCCAGTGAAATACATATATTTTTTCTGATAATTCATGTTATCATAATTCCTTCCGTTATTAGTGTCAATTGTTTCACATTATATCATATCTCAGTGTTACTTTTGAATACATATATGGTTGTAAGCGACTAATAAGAAGCCATGAAATGTAATGAATTCATAATATTCTGCCTCAATTGTTTTTAGATTTATTCAAATTAGTAAGATCAATTGCGTGAAATAAGGTTAGTTGACAAAAACGGCAGACGAGTTTGTTTGGATTTACGGCAGAATGTAATCGAACGAGAGTTAACTTGACTACAATACTAAGATCAGTAACTACTTTCATTGCTATCTAGAAATAACATGCCAGTTCGAGTAACCAACCGATTATTAAAATCAGAAAGGAACACTCGTGAATAAAGTGATATAGAAGCCACATCACGAAAGTTTTGCTATTGAGTTATATGCGTAAATCATAATAATTTGGTCGGATTTTAAATAATTGAATAAAATGAATAACCTTACTTCCTTAAACGCATCTCATTATTATATAACTGTAATAACCTATTTCTAATCAAGCGCAATTTATGTGGTAAAATTGTATCAGCTCCAGGTGTTCAACTACTGTAAATGGGAATGTATTGTGCTACCATCCACAGAAAGTAAGTTGTTTCATTATATAAAGTTGATTGGTCACTCGATATTTCTTCAATAGTCTGATGTATTTAGTGTCCGAACCCCAGTGACACCACATTTTTTATTCTAGTCTAAGTATATAGTGAAAAAGATTGGAGTTGTGGAACATTAGTGAGTAGACAGAGCTTCCAGTGGAATACTAGTTACTTTGAATAACTAAAGGGAACTCACATCTCATCTACATTAGACACCACCTCTGTCAATGTTTTAGCTGCATGTTGGAGGAACTGGATTACACGGAATGTGTGGGTAATACTTAAGAATGCCATGGTTAGTTTCTGAATATTTACGAAATTGAACTGATCACTCAGGTTTCTGTTAAGTTGATTGTACCTGTAATAGTCTCAGAAGTGAATAACGTGGCACCTACTATCGAAGTAAAACAGGGAGATATGTTTACAGATAGTCTCCTTAGCTTGGTATTTTCGTTGTCCTACACAAAAGCCTTGGTTTTTATACCAACTACACCGATAAGGATGAAAGGTGATTTCACACTTAGCTTAGATGAAACAGCAGTAAGCTTTGCTACATCTGCTAGAAGCGGGGGCTAGGTGGTTTTCTTTCTAGAGAACAACTAAAATAAGAAGTCATTTTGGGTCATATGACAACACAGTTTTGTGAGGTTGACCGGATGTTCGTCTTTGAATATATTGCCTACAGCATTATTGGATTTTCAGATCCCCGCCAACTAGTGAGATTATAATACAACTCCGCTTCCTACACAGAAATTGATTACGAATGATTTGATTCTCTATAAAGATTATTTGTTAGATTACTCGAATGTATACTCCTCTTATCGCGATATTTAATTTAATATTTTCAGTTCTATAGAAATGTAGTGTTAAATCAGTCATTTTGAATGAACTTGACATATCGTAATTGTATTCTTAAGTAATATAACTACGGTAATTAGCAGCTACGAACTTATTTTATAATACTTGATAAGTTTACGCCTTATATATATGAAATTCTATTTGATTAAAAAGACATTATATGATGAGTACGAAAAGCAAACTGTTGGATGTCGTATTTCAACTGTAATACACAACCAGCCGACCAATATGAACTCAGTAAACATATAATTCGCATGGAGGACTAAAGTAATATTGTTAACATAACTGTAACACCATACTAAAACGAACAGAAACAACAGTAAAAGAAAGCAATGAACTATCTCCCTTACAATATTTTATCTGGTAACATCTCGACCAAGATACTTCCAACAGTAAAGTGGCTTTTATCACTTGGCTGTGAATTAAAGTATGATAATTCATAGCACAGAACTAGTAATGCAGTTGACGAACACTGATAGCCATTAAACTAATTAAACAAAATTGGGAGTCAAATTGAAAATACTAACTACGAACAGACGTTGACAGATGTAGCAGTGTTCCAAACACTATTGGAGATTCCAGCATATTTGTGACGTACCCAAATAAGGAATATCGCTTGGCCTAGACAGCATAACATTTAAAATGGGCGAATAACTAATAGAGAGAATGTTTCATGTGAACCACAACTGTTGATCGAATAATACCAAGTTAAAAATGCATCCAGTGAAAAAACCCTATGGTGGTTTTTGTTGCATGTAGAATTGTGCTTCCACTAATTGTTCTGAAAATATTTCTAACAAACACATTTGAATGTTTCCTTCCCATCCCAAAAAGAAAGTTAAGTAATTTGAATTTAATAACCATTTGGATTTGGGCTGATGTGAAAGCGATATTCACTAACTTACAATTATTATTACAAATCGAAAAACAATTATGTGCAATTATATATTATTTAGAGAAATGTTAATAACCTCCTTCTATAACTGTAAAATTAATTCTGAATTACGATTTCTCTCTAAAGTGAAGATCATTACGACCAAACCACTTGGTCTACACATTTTATGTATAGAATGTTACATAAAAACTAAGAGTTGAAGGATCGTTTAATACGGATCAACAAAATTTAGATAAGCTACTTAAAAAAACTAGGTGAACACGTTTCTTCGATGTCCTAAAACAAAAAAATAGAGCAACGTACGGAAAGGCTGACCAAAATAACAAACAAAAATACTAAGCGTCCCAGTAACTATTTTACTGAATTAATAAATACTTAAATTACCCCCCCCCAAAGAAATAGAAAGAAAACACAAAGTGCTACCGAGTTCTGTTAAAGATTTATCAAAATAAATTAAGGAGTCAATCGTTTTGGATCACGTGGGAACATTGATGCTTTTCTGATATTATCCAACCCAAGGAACAGCATAGTCACTCGCTCAAGACCTAAAATTCAATATTGAAGACATGTACTAATTAAAATGGAATAACCATATTCCGTAAGAAAGCAAATGTGCAAAGTAACAAGGATATAACAGCATAGGTCAATAAAACGGACTCCAAAATGTTAAGAAAAAATTACTCAGTGAGTTATTACACCCTCCTGCTCCCCTGTTTACAATCGTGCAGGCGATGCTAGAAAGTATTGTTGAGCTTCCAAAACGCATAGTTCCAAGTAGGTGAACAATTATTAGGAGGGTAAACAAAAGCATTATTTATGAGTGTGTAACTACAATTTAGCATATGGCTATAATTATTAACTTTAGTACTGATAGTACACACCCAGAACCTTACAGTTCATAGCACAACCCTTAGTTTTTTGTCTTCTGACTAAACCTACTAACATCTGTTTTGATCACTGGTTTCCTTTGCTAATGGAACGATATTAGAAACAACAAATGTTATGTATAAATGATTGAATGTCTTAGAAAGGTGTTGTAACTTACCAATCCCTCCACCGGCATGGGGTGGACAACCATAACGAAAAGCGTCAATGTACGCTTTAATCTTTTCCAGATCTGTAACAGAAAAACACCAAATAGTTAAGTAATATGATAGAGCAGTTATAATTTTAAATTAACAAGTAATCATATTTGACATACAAACATACTTAAAGCGATCCTTAGTTCTTTCATGTATTCAAACACCAACAAGGTTTTTTCTTATTAAATAGAAATCATAAAATGTCAACGAAAGTAAAACACCACAAGTTACGTAATGGAAGTAGGCAGTAATTTATGACGAATATACTGTAGACGTGTGCAGTGTACTCATCTGGACCAGTCTACAATCGATTCACACAGACATGTCATAACTCTGAGGACGATGACAAACTAATTTTTGACCTACGACCTTTAGTATTGAATCGAACGTAAATGCCCAGACATGCAGTTTTTATGTAGGTCTAAAGCACTGAGAATAAGTTTATGAATAAAAATTAAAAGGGCAGATGTTAGGTTACGATTAGGAAATAAAAAGTGAATACAGCAGCATAATTTTAGTATATGAGTAACAGATGTGTATTATGACACAATCATATTATCACGACAGTCAACAAATTTCTAAACATGCTAGTCAGTCAGGTACAACGTAGGACCAGGCACATATATGCATCGGTCCAAGTTGCCATACCTCATTAACAAAACAAGATGGACACCGGATTCATAAAAGTAGTTAATTCAGAGATGGCAATATATAAAAGAAAGATTGCAATAAGGATATAGTACAGGAAGGAAGAATTAGTTCGTAGAAAGAAAGATATGAAGCGATTTTAATCTCTTAGTTTAAGGGAAGACAGAGTGTATACACCGACGCCATTGTGATCGATTCTGAGCCATGTCACCCAGAGTCTACAACCATTGGTTACGATAGTCACGCGGACCCCAACCAAGTAGTCTGCATCTACCAACATGGCTCAGACTAGAAGTTAGTGACTTCAAGCACTGATGCCACGTTTTGGTTTGGCCGCCCCTAACTTTCTTCCAAACATCCCGAACACCGGTTAGCATTGCACGTCGTGGTAATCGGTGTTCAGGCATACGTAACACGTGGCCCAACCATCTCAGTCGATGAAGATTCACAACCTCATCAACTGGTTTACCATCATTCTCTAATACCCTGCGTCTAACCTCACTATTACTTACCCGGTGATCCCAGCAGACGCCAGCAATATTTCTAAGGCATCTGTGGTCAAATACTAGTAGCTTACGAGTGTCTTCTACTCTTAATGGCCATGTTTCGCTGCCGTAAATTAAAACAGAACGAACTGCCGCGCAGTATATTCGTCCCTTAATTGATAGACGGATATCTCGCCTTCGCCAAAGGTGACGTAAGTTGGCAAAAGCCAAACGAGCTTTTCGAATCCGTGCTGAGATTTCGTCAGACACCAACCCATTAGGGCTGATCAGACTTCCAAGATAAGTGAAGTTGTCAACGCGTTCGACTACTTCACTCCCTATCCTTAGTTCAGGTGTTGACGCAGACCAGTCCTGAAGCAACAACTTGCATTTAGAGGGAGAGAAGCGCATTCCAAACATTCTGGCATTGTTGCTTAGTGCTACCAAAAGACTTTGCATTTTATCAGCGTCTTCACCAAACAGGACTATGTCATCTGCGTATTCTAAGTCGATAAGTGGACCTCCTGGAAGGAGATCAATACCCGAGAATTCAGTCGACGAGAATGTTATTTCCATCAATAGGTCTATGATGAAGTTAAACAAAAATGGAGAAAGTGGACAGCCTTGACGGACACCACTTGAGGTTGCAAAAGCAGATGACAGTTCGCCATAAGCTCTGACTCGACTAGTAGTGTTCGAGTAAAGAGCCTTCACAAGGTTTATGTACTTCTGAGGTACGCCTTTCAATGACAGACAGTGCTACAGAATCTCGCGGTCTACCGAGTCAAGTACTACTTTTAAGTCAAGAAAGACCACCATTGTCGGACGCCGATAAGTATACCTATGTTCTAGAACCTGACGAATGGTGAATATGTGGTCGATGCAGCCACGACCAGGTCTGAAGCCAGCTTCATTCTCTCGTGTTTGCAGTTCACGAGTCTTAGTTAGGCGTCTGATAATTATCGAGGCTAGTATTTTAGATACTATATTAGTTAAACTAATCCCTCTATGGTTGTCACAGGATGATTTTAACCCCCTCTTATATATTGGGACGATAAGTGATTGTGACCAGTCAGATGGGATAACGTCTAACTCCCAGATCTTAGCTAAAATATTAGTCAACCTAATCGCTAAAATTGGACCACCATCCTTAAAGACCTCGGGAGCCGGTCCATCTGGACCAGCTGCCCTTCCTCGTTTCAGATTAACTATAGCCTTTTGAACTTCTGCTAGAGTTGGGGGACCTACTTTGATGTTCCATTCACTTTGTCTGGGAATGGAGGGTAGTTGTAGAGTAGCTGAAGGCCAGCTGAACTGCTCTCTGAAATGTTCCGCCAATCGTTCTAAACGTCTGGACTGAGAGCAGACGAGGGTGTCGTCTTTTTCCGAAATAGTCTGACTTACACTTGACTTATTAATTCCAGTTTCTTTTATTAGTCTGTAGAGCTGTCTTGTGTTCCCTATAGCCGCAGCTTTTTCCATCACTTTTGTTTTCGTTGCCCACCACTGCTCACAGTCGTCCCTCAGACTTTTGCTTAACCTAGATCAGATTTGTTGTCGCTCTCCATCGTGTCCAAAGCCTGATGGGATGAGTTTGCGAGAATCCATCAGTGCAATAAACCTAGAGGAAATCCATTGATTCTTTGTAACCATATGGTTTAAATCACTGATAGATGTCACTGCTGTTTCCACAGCTGTTTGTATAGCTTTCCAAGCAAAATCTGGGTCAACCTCGTTTTCAGAACTACCTAAGTGTGACCTCAGTTGTTCCTGGAACCTACTTTTAGTTTCCTCGCTACTCAATTCAGTTCTAATGGGTCTTTTTAATGTGGCTTTTTGCGTCCAGTGAGGCACAAGCAGATGCGTGCCCGTATAAGGGCATGATCGGAGTCTAACCAGGTACTCCAGAATGAGCGACAATCTTCTACCGACCCTCTCCAACGATGACTGATGGCAATATGGTCTATTTGAGTCCATCGTTGGTTTGGTGTAGGGGGTCGCCTTGTTAGACGATGTCTCTCCTTATGCTTAAAATTTGTGTTTGCTAAAAATAAACGATTGTTTGAGCACAGTTGCAGCAGACGATCACCATTATCTGTTCGTTGTGCCGGAATACTAAAATACCCACCTAAATGCCTTTCTGTTTGGTTTAAACTACCTATCTGGGCATTAAAATCACCTTCTACGAGTACTATGTCTGAACGTTTAGCTTTCTGAAGAAGTTCAGATAGCTTTCTGTAAAATTCATCTTTCACTTCATCTGAGCTGCAGTCGGTGGGAGCGTAGGCAGAAACGATAAAAAGGCAACAACGTGTGTCCCTATCCTTCCGAGTTCTTACGAAGCCGTTTAGCCAAACAGCACATAAACAACTGTTAACGGACATGCTAGTCACGTGCTGGGAGTATAGCTTTCTGCTCAACAGACTGATTTCACAAGTAATTAAATTGGCAAAGTTAATAGAGGTGGGTTGGTAGGGATTGAATGCCCATTATATTCTTGAAATGTATCGCTTTAATCAATTATCTACATAACCTATAAAATTTGGGAGTAAATTTCAATAACACCAGATATTAACAGCACATGAGTGATTGATTTTACACATAATATTAGCATGAAACAACTTGTTAACATACATCGCTCATCAACAAGAGAATCTAGATTAAATGAAATCATAGTCGGTTTGGTGCAATAGCATTTAGATTAATTTTTGAGTGATTTCGCTATGCATAATTTGCGAGTATAAATAAACAGGAGTTTCGATAAGGAATCACTGAATTGTGATAGTCCACCAAAAGATAATTAAACCTACATTCTGATACTACATTAGGTGTGCAACCTATAAACGTAGTTTAATATAACGTTTACCGACAACGTGCCAAGTTAAAATGCCCTTAAGAATAATAAGGAAGAAAACTAAACTTACCAACTTTATGGTGTGTAGCACGTTCCGATAAAAGGACTGGATCATGAATACGTTGTGCCCCAGACATGATTTCTTCCCCACGCATGAAAAAATCATACGAATTAGAATAGCCCTGTTTGAGACAAACAACGATAGGAATAGTGTTTTTTATATGCTATTATGTTTGAAAAAACCTATTGTGAAGCGATTGGTGGTTTTCCAAACGATTTTCTAGATAGACTGCTTACGTATAATCCCTGATGACTGGAGCTTTGTAACAATTATATAAGGCTATAGAAAAATAAAAATGAATTCTTATCTACAATTACTTTTGAATGAATTATGCCTAACTTTTACACTTACAATCACTGTAATATTAAGGATAATCATTGTGTATATTGCCTTATCATTGAATTCGTGAAATACATCTAGCTTAATTGTAGTGTTCTGATAAACTTTTCAGCTGACAAAAACTAGAATTAAGTATGTTAACTAACAAATTAGCTCCTGCGCGTTTACTAAAGTCAACTGGACCTCAAATTCAGAACAATTTAGGATCACTTGCAGTAGTAATGAGTCAGCCTTGTGATAGAACTACTTTACTTTCATTAGCGTTGTTAACGAAAACTCAAAGTGTTACCATAGAGACGCATCCAAGACACTGTATGCTACACTTAAATTCGAGAGACTGAAACTTTTAAATACGTTATGAAAAACGACTGATTGAATTTTAAACAAATACTGTGCAATTTCGACCAAAAAACTACTCTGTATACAGTATTAATAGGGAACACATTCTTTGGCACCGTCCTGCCAATTATTTGAATATACTAGTCAATATAAATCAGAAAACTTGAAGTTTGCTATTTATGATTTAATATGTTACCAAAGAATAATCAAAAAGGCTTTAAATCAATCGCTATTTGGCACAAAAAAAGCGTACCTTCTCAGTAGGATGTGGCATAGTATAGAAAGCGCGAATATCCAGTGGGAACTTATCAAGAATATAGAAGTCTGTATGATACTTTTCCTTGATCAATTTCCCAAGGAACTTTTCAGCAGGTGTATTTAAATCATCTAGTTCTCCAATTTCCCAACCGGCATCTTGTAACATCCGAATAGCATCACGATACTGTAAGCGTAACCTTTGAATGAATATATAGAAAAAGATGAATATTAATAAAAATACATGGCTAATTTTATTAAAGTGAGTACAATCATATAATTGATTTTTTGCTTCAGAAAGCAGTAATTTGTTATAAAAATAGTAATTGGAAGCAAAGTGTATTTATAGAATCTATGACGGTAAACATACGTAGGTTGAAGGAATTCAAAAGGTTCTGAATGATATTGTTGACATATGGTTTGGATTTCAGTTTGATATCTACAATTTTTCAAAAGAAATACAATACACAACAAAAATTGGAGATAAAATAATCAAGTATGAGAAGAGTTAATTTTACAAACCTCACATTGAATGAACCATAGATGGTATTCACAAACTTTATTTCATGGTGAATTTAAACGATGAAAATTTCAACAAAACTGACGAAAGTAACATGTATGAGGGTTAGCTTCAGTTAATACTGATCAACGTAGAACCTAAAATGAGTGTACATCAGTTTAAACTGTCAAACCTTACTTCAGCACTATACCAAATCAACAAGATGAGAAACATAGGTTTGGAAATAATTCAAACTACAATGAGAATCCAATTATGATGAATACACTCTAAAGGGAACAAACGAGATCAAATAATTAAAATTTGGGAACGACACTCAGGATTTAGAAGATGTATAACTAATGCAGCTGAACCACTATGGTGGAATAAACGCCATGTAACGTGACATTTGTAACCACAACTTGAGTATTGCGTGGGTCCAAAATAGAATGTCTGCACCTTTCCTCATAGATTAATGACTTTACGGACCGATGTTGTTTTAATCTGTGCTCTCAGATTATATATTAGGAAACGATAGATGAAAATTTATTCATCCGGAACATAAGGTGTTTAATTTTAAAATAAGGTACTTTTCTGTTTTAAGAAAAAGTGACAATACAATTGGCAAATAATAAGTAGGCCAATTTCTGTGCTAAAAGGTGTATTCTAAGTATGATCGAGTGAATATGTTTACCGGTGGAATCCTTACTGGGAAGTCTTGGAATTTGGTGCTAAAAAAACGAATGAAAAAGACACTAGATATTCAACGAAATAACGTTTCTCAAAGTATGATTAATGAGAGAAAAGCAGTATGAGAAAGGTATAACGGTTCTTACTCGCGTTGCAACCCTTTGAACACATGAACAAACATATCTGCGATAAGATCGACCACCTCATGGTAATGGTTTTTGAAGGCCATCTCTATGTCTAAACCAACAAATTCTGTAAGATGTCGATGTGTGTTAGAATCTTCAGCACGGAAAACTGAGCCTATGGTAAAGACCTTCGTAAAAAGGAAATCAATAATCAGGATATACACAACTGTTAAGTACTAGAGATCGATAATGTCAGTCTAATTTATGAGCTGCTAAACAACTATACACACATAGTTAAAATGCCAATCACAAACGATAGGCTTCAATTTGAACCTTTCCATACTATTTGTAAACCAAATAAACAAAAACAAACCCGATCAAAACACAGGAACATTTTTAAAGTACTGAAATTGGGAACACACCCTAATGTATCACAAACACGTGCATAATCCGAGGTGCACTGTAAAAATACTACTTTTAGACAGACAAAAAGCTTAACTACTTATGGAGATTTATAGGTCAGAAAATTTTAGAGGATTAATCCCCCTACGGGTGTCTTTTAAGTTCACATATTTATATGGTAATATGACTGAATGTAAATGTCCAGTTATCAGTTTTGCATTAATCCTGCACTTCCTCAATAACTACAGTGATATACTGTTTTCGGCTTTTCCTAGGTATCCATGAAAATAAAAAAAATTGGATGTATTATGACTCTTTACGTACACTTACATGCAAACATTAAAACAAACCAATTAAACTTGATATTCAAAATACCAAAAAAGCAAGTTTGTATATATGTAACTATCAAACCAGAAGTTCTCTACAGAAGACGTTAGACTTATAATGACTTAATGAGTACCATCTTTAAGAAACATTTACTGAGTGTTGTAGTATAATTCAAATGGCCAGAAAGAGATTCCACTAATACAACAGTTTCGACAAATGAAGCTTCCCACAATTCTCTAAAACGCTTTTTTACCGTAAATGGAGTTTTAAGCAGTAAAACCCATACAAAGTATGATTCCCAAATATTGAGCGACAAAATTCTACTTTCAGAAGTAAGAAACACTGTTTGTTTACTTAAAAGAAGTTTATAATATGAAACTTAACCTTTTATTAGGGATAAAATTCTTAACCTGGCGTAAATGCAATGCCAAACGTTAAAAAATGAAATCTGATGTAAAAACCATCAAACGTAACTAGTTGTGCTTACTCTTACTCTACTCCTTGAAACTACTAAAGAACCAAGATCCATATTCCGATAGATAGACGATAAAATGATTACTGCTAAATAGGATTTTTTTAATAATCATTTTTGGATCTAAACTTATATGACCCTGAATAAGTTTACGATATGTCAACCTCTGGAGTGATAACCTTGATTACTTACCAGTTACGGCAATAATTACTTTGGAAGGTTGCGTATTTGATAGGGACACTTTATATACTATGCTGGCGCTAGGATTCTAAATTTCAGTTAAGAAAATTGCTATATTGACAAGATGGTTAATAAATAATCATATTGCTATTATAGTTATCCTTACAATGAATATCATACCAAACACTATACCTATCGACAAAATATGGGAAAGCAAAGCCATAGGACAAATTTGTACCTTACGGTATATGACAGAACTCAAAAATCTGCTTTAGGCAGTGTTAATCGTTAAAGCACTCGTCTTTCAACCATTAAGTATTAGGTCTGAACTCTTAAAAGCCTACTTTGTTTTGGTAATCGGGTATATAATACTGCACTTAGTAGGTCGATTACATGACTAATGTACTGGTCTGGCCATTTAATCCAATACTTGAGTCAATAATTAAAATTCACTTCGACAACCTTGATCTATAGTGGTAGATAGGTGCTATTATCTGATATCACACATTAAGTTTAGCCAAGTCTAATAAACAAGTATGTGTCTTATAGCTGATTTGCAATTAAAATTCTATACAAATCCAATCTAAGACTTACGTGTGAGTAAACTCACAGAAGAAACGTACCCTTTCAAAGTCAGCCGCTATGGCCATTTGTTTATATAGCTGAGGTGACTGGGCCAAATAGGCACTACCAGAAAAGTAGGACACTTTGAAAACATTTGCACCACCTTCGGAAGCTGCTGAAATCATTTTTGGAGTATGGATATTCACAAACCCAGCATTAGTAAGGTATTCCATAAAAAATTTGACTACACCAGCTTCAACCCGATAAATAGCTTGATTGACCGGAGTCCTCAGATCTATGCATCTATTATCTAAACGAGTATCCTGATTGACTCGGCTCAAAGTCTGGAATTGGAGCGAAACTTAAAATATAACATTTGCGTTTGAACAATAAAATTTCAGGCTTACTATTGACAAGTGAAAATAAACATCACTAGAATTTTCGAAAGAGTAGTTTATTCGACTTGCGATGTACACAGATATCCCGATCGAAGCTGCTACCTTGACGCGGTGGTCGGGCTTGCCTATCGTGATGACCCAACCGAGCTATATTGGCTGGAACATATGTTCCTGTAGGTTCTACCATGCCAGGCAGGTCGATTGGTGAACGGTAAGACTAAAAGCAGCAACTCAAGGTCTGAGGGCGAAGTCGTACTGCTGACTGTAGAGGGGTGTGACAGCAGTAAGGTGTTTCCTTCGGACAACCAGCATGACAGCGATGCTGCCTTCCCACAAGGAGGGGTGGGGTTAGAAAAGGTCGACCCTAAAAATGTCACACCTCACCTTACCTCACGGATTTCCGTCTCCGGCGGTAAGGCCCTTTGAAGAACGGAGCTAACACGTCAAAAACCTTCCACAAAAAGGCCGTGCGCGACCGGCCTCAAGCAGTTGTCCCTTGGGCTCTGCGGTCACGCTCCCAGGTCGTCAAGACCAACACTAATCCAATTTCCTTTTCAGGTTCCTCAAGAAATACCCTTCCACGGTGTGGGCAGCCGGGAAGTGACATCAGCCCTCATACCCGTAACAGCACAAGAGACCAAGGTGGTCACATTCAAATCCTTCCTACACCTCCTAATACCTCTCTTATCTCCATGACTAACCCTCCTCACGTCTCTTTATCACCTCGCACCGCTAGGGCAAACGATTCGAGTACGTGGAACGCCATTCCTGGTCTCCTGAAACCACGCTCTAAACTACACGTAGGAGCTTTTAACGTACGAACACTTTGCCAAATAGGACAGCAGGCTTCCTTAGCTAAAACTTTAGAATCTCGCGCCATCGATGTGTGCTGCGTCTCCGAAACGCGCATACAGGATCCAAGTAGCGTCATTCATTTGACCTCACCATGCCAAAATAAAGAACCGACTCGATTTACGCTTCGTGTATCTGGAAGCCCTGATTCTGCTTCCCGTGGCCTCGCCGGCGTAGGTATAGCATTGAGTCCTAGGGCAGAACTAGCTCTCTTAGAGTGGATCCCAGTAGACAGTCGTTTGTGCGCTGTCCGACTGAACGGAACAGTAAGAATCCGGAAAGATAGGGACACTCGTCGTTGCCTCTTCGTCGTCTCTGCCTATTCTCCCACTGACTGCAGCTCAGATGATGTAAAAGATGAGTTTTACAGAAAGCTTTCGGACCTTCTCCGAAAAGCTAAGCGCTCGGATGTAGTAATAGTGGCCGGTGACTTTAATGCTCAAGTAGGTAAACTAAGCGATAGGGAAAGACACCTAGGTGGATCTTATGGTGTCGTGGCTCAAAGAACAGATAATGGCGACCGTCTGTTGCAGCTATGCTCAGATAACCGCCTGTTCCTTGCAAATACTAACTTTAAGCATAAGGAAAAACATCTTTTAACATGGCGACCCCCTAATTCGTCCCAACGTTGGACCCAAATAGATCACATCGCTATCAGCCACCGATGGAGGGGCTCGATAGAAGACTGTCGCTCATTCTGGAGCACATGCCTAGATTCAGATCATGCTCTAGTGCGAGCGCGTATTTGCTTGCGTCTTACTGGACGTAGGAAAGACGCTGCAAGGAAACCTCTTAGGGCCTACTTAATGATAGTCAAGCTAAGAGTATATTTCAGGAACAACTAGGAAAACAGTTAGGCAGCCATGTATGTGATGCCCACCCCGATGCAGCATGGAATGATATCCGAAAAGCTGTGGAAACAGCAGTGATATCTGCTAGTAAGGTAAACCAGAAGGTTAGGGAGCAACACTGGATCTCAGCAGCATCTATCGCACTGATAGATGCTCGGAAACTCATTCCACCTGGCTCTGAACATAATGAAGAGCGGAGTCAGCTTAAGCGCAAGCTGACAAGAAGTCTACGCAATGATCGCGAACAGTGGTGGGTAGCGAAAGCAAGAGAGATGGAAAAGGCAGCGGCAATAGGTAATAGCAGACAATTGTTCAGACTCGTTAAGGAAACCGGAATTAGGAACCCGACCGTTAGCGAAACAATCTCAGAGAAAGATGGACATATTATTCATTCTCAATCCAGGAGATTGGATCGATGGGCAGAACACTTTAGGGATCAGTTCAACTGGCCTTCAGCCACACTTCGGTTTCCCACGATCTCTAGTCAACCTGAATGGCAAGTTAATGTAGGTCCTCCGTCCCTTTACGAAGTTGAAAAAGCCATAGGAAATCTGAAACGAGGGAGAGCAGCAGGCCCTGACAGGTTTACTCCTGAGATTTTTAAGGATGGTGGTCCAGTATTAGCAATGAGATTAACTGAGGTCTTAGGTAGAATTTGGGAACTGGACGTAATCCCATCTGACTGGTCTCAATCACTGATTGTGCCAGTCTATAAGAAAGGACAAAAGTCCTCTTGTGACAATCACAGAGGAATCAGTTTGACTAATATAGTGTCTAAAATATTAGCTTCAATAATACTTCGACGCCTAATCAAAGCTCGTGAAGAGCAGATTAGAGAAAACCAGGCTGGTTTTCGACCTGGACGTGGTTGTATAGATCAGATATTCACACTACGTCAGGTTCTAGAACACAGACACACATTCAGACGCCCCACAATGGTAGTATTTCTCGACCTTAAGGCGGCATTCGACTCTGTTGATCGTGAGGTTCTATGGCAGTGTTTGTCACTGAAAGGAGTACCAAAGAAGTACATTAACCTTATAAAGGCTCTCTACTCGAACACAACTGGTAGAGTGAGAGCTTATGGCGAACTGTCATCAGAATTGATTACCTCAAGTGGTGTTCGTCAGGGCTGTCCACTCTCCCCATTCTTGTTCAACTTTGTGGTCGACGTACTTTTAGAGATAACACTCTCCTCATCTAAATTTCCAGGGGTTGAACTTCTACCGGGAGGTTCACTTGTTGACTTAGAATATGCTGATGACATAGTTTTATTTGGTGAAGACGCTGACAAAATGCAGAGTCTTCTGACCACTCTAAGCAACAATGCAAGCATGTTCGGGATGCGATTCTCTCCCTCGAAATGCAAAATGTTGCTTCAGGATTGGGTTACATCGACACCCGAACTAGTGATAGGGAGTGAAGTAGTTGAGTGTGTCGACCGCTTCACTTATCTTGGAAGTCTCATCAGCCCTTGTGGTTTAGTGTGTGACGAAATCTCAGCACGGATACAGAAGGCTCGACTAGCTTTTGCCAACTTGCGTCATTTATGGCGTAGGCGAGATATCCGTCTATCAACCAAAGGACGTGTTTACTGCGCAGCAGTTCGTTCCGTCCTACTTTATGGCAGTGAAACATGGCCGGTAAGAGTAGAGGATATTCGTAGGTTACTAGTATTTGATCATAGGTGTCTTCGAAACATTGCTCGTATATCATGGGACCATCGAGTAAGTAACACAGTTGTTAGGAAACGGGTACTAGGTAAGGATGGCAAATCAATTGATGAAGTAGTGAAACTTCATCAGTTGAGATGGCTGGGACACGTGTTACGTATGCCCAACGACCGACTGCCTCGACGTGCTATGTTCAGTGGTATAGGAGTAGGTTGGAAGAAAGCTAGGGGCGGCCAAACCAAAACATGGCACAAGTCCATGAAGTCACTGACAAGTGAACTGAGTCATGTTGGTAGGTGTAGACTACCTGGTTGGGGACCGCGAGATGATAGCAACCGATGGTTAGAGACCCTGAATGACATGGCTCAAAATCGTTTGCAATGGCGCAGGTGCATCCACTCTCTGTGTTCTCCCAAATTCTAATCTTCTGATTCCTTCATGTCCCTTTTTTCCTCTTTCCAAATTTATTTCACTGGATTATACTCTTTAAATAACATCTCCAAACCCTAATCTTCCCGATTACTGCTTATACTCTTATTACCTCTACCACTACGGGATTTGAATCGACAACTGCATCTCTGTGCTAATGTGGTGTGGCAACTCGAACTGATGTACGTACGTACGAAGTTCTACGTTGTTACTGACTGACTGACTGTACACAGATATCTTATCCACTAATACATTCCCACACATAATTATCCACACTTGCCAAGCATGTATTTCTTAATCCTTTGAATAAACAATATTATACTGTACTTGTGAGTTTCTTCGTCGAAAAATATCACCTAAAAAACTGCTAAGAACCGTGGAACCATGGAAAGTTACGTAATACAGGCTTTGAGGGGAAAGATATCCAAGGTATAACTCTGGACTAAAACCTGAAATGCGCGAATTTACTCGTGGAAATGACTGAAGCTTCTATTCTCTAGGAACTGCAATTTACAACTTAAGAGTTCGTAAGTAGTAAAAGTCTGCAACAACTACTTGAGAAATGACTGATCCTTCGAAACTACTAGCTTGAAATGCAATATCTGCAATTGAATTTTCACCAAAAACAAACGACCACGTTTCAAAAACTTGAATATTATAAACTAGATATTTAAAGTATTTAGTTTAGTCGCGTTTCAATTAAGAGTGTATATGAAAAAATGAATAAATATATTACGTAACCAACCGTTTCGTCATCATCAGGTCTCATTGCGTCCTCAATTTGTAGAGGTAAAGTTGGAAGAGCAGCACTTACAACAAACACTTTTTCACAATGGATTTCAATGGTATCTGGATTGCAACCCTCAATGAGAACAGGGCTTTTTAGAACTCGCCCAAAAACATCGACGATCGATTCCTTAGAAATGCTTTATTAAAAAAAGGAGAGCCAACAGACAACAATAGGTTAGAAGAAACGCATAACACTAACGATCACTATTTTCCAAGGGATTTTAATGACAACGTGGTATGATATACTGTTACTTTGTCACAACCAATTTTTATCGCATATTACATTATGAAGTCAGAACGTTATGTGATTTTCCATAATATATTCCTGTTACTATCAAAAGTCAAGGAGGATGACAAAGCATAACATCACCCATAGTTTTGCATGGTTAACAGTGTAAAAGGAATGTAGTGAGTCCATAAGACTGTGATGAAAACTAAATGATACAAGTAATTCTTGACTGGTTAGTTACTACATACTTGAAAATAAATAATGGTTTTCTCAAAAACAAAAGCCAGCCAACAAAGAACTGAATTATCCCTGCTCTATGACTCATCAAACGTTCACATCGCATGATGTTCGGTCATTAGTTTCATACTGATACTACCTGGGCTTAATGAAATAACCAGCCGAACAGTTATTCAACAGCAGTGTTGATTTATATAGGGTCTTACTATTCGTTTTACTCTGTTGAAGAGAATTATATATAACACAAGAATATGAATCATTACAAATATTCGGTTTGTTACACGGTTATTGTTAGAAGACTTGCACATGAAGTGACTGATACATCTGTTTGATTCCTGTTTTAGAATATGGAGACGCTAATGAAATGCAGTCGTTTATTAGCACTGAGCAACAATACCAGGATGTTCAGGATCCGTTACTTAAACTCTAAATGTACATTGTTGCTTCAGAACTGGCCTTCATCAACACTTGAACTAAGGATAGGGAGTGAAGTGGTCGAATGCTTATCTTGAAATTCTGGTCAGCCTTAATGGGTTGGTGTCTGACGAAATCTCTGCATAGATTCGAAGAGCTTGTTTGGCTTTCACCAACCTACGTCACTTGTGGTGAAGACGAGGTATCCGTCTGTCAATTGAATGATGAGTATACTGTGCAGTAGTTCGTTCTGTTTTACTTTACGGCTACGAAACGTGTCCATTAAGAGTAGAAGATACTCGTAAGTTGTTAGTATATGATCACAGATGTCTTAGAAATATTGCTGGCATCTGCTGGGATCACCGGGTATGCATTAGTGAGATCGGACACAGAGTATTCGGGAACGAAGATAAATCAGTTGATAATGTTGTGAATCTTCATCGACTGGGATAGTTGGGCCACGTATTACGCGTGCCCTAACACTGATCACCACAACGTGAAATGCTAACTAGTGTTCGAGACGGGGGGAAGAGTTGGGGACGGCCGAACTAAGATGTGGCATCAGTCCATAAAGTCACTAAGTCCTTGTCGGAGCCATGTTGGTAGATGCAGACTACTTGGTCGTTGTCCGCTCGAGTATCGCAAACAATGGTTAGAGAATCTGGGAAACATGGCACATAATTGACCACAATGGTGTATGCTCTTCGTTTTCTTTTAAACCGCAAGATTAAGATTACATTACAAATTCCTTTCTTCGAACTAATTCTTTCTCCCTGTATCATATCCTTGTATGAAATCTTTTTATTACTACCATGGAATTAACTGCTTCCCATATATATATATATATATATATATATATATATATATATATATATATATATATATATATATATATATATATATATATATAGGATGACGAAACCAAATGGCTGTTCAAACCGGAATGACTGTGTCTGCACAGTGGATGAGAAGTAAGAGGCCAATTCAAGGAAACCGAGACTAGTCTGAATGTTGATTACAAGCCCACTTGGATGTCTATCAAGACAATAAAAGAAAAAAAGAGTAGGGAGGTTCCAGAAATCATACGAAGAGCACCAGCATCTAAATAACGAGTTACCTGGAGACGAATGCCAACATTTCTTTTGGAGTATGTTCCCCGACAGAAAGCACGTTTTGTACTCTGTAGTCTTGTAAACGTAGTATAAAAAAACATAGTTTTCCTTTCATTCGACTTCTATGAAGACGCCCACGAACCCACACATTTTGATTGATATTTGACTCCTTTGACAATTCTCTCAGTTCAGTGTATTTGGGGCCTTCAGTAAACTGTGACTGACACAATGGGAGAACACCATATGCATCCGTTGCATCAAGTATCCCATTTTCCCCAAGGAGATTAACCACAGTTTTCTATATACCAGTTCAAATGGTTCCGTTATTAGAAAGAAATTAGTGAAATTCACCTGATCAACCTCTGCTTCTTGAACCTTTGGTTTACCTATATCGCGTTGTAATTTTCTAAGTTCCTTCTTTGTCTTTTTATCATTATCTTGACGAGTAACCTCTGGCATTATGAAGCCACACGCAGAAAGACTTTAAAGTGCACCAGACCGCGACCTTGGCGAAAAATTAAATTTACTACCTACATCAAGAACAGAACAGAAAACCAAATTCCTTCAAATGGTTCAAATGGTTCTGAAAGAAATAGATAAATATTTCTTTGCATGTAGGAGCCCAAGCGTATTCACAAAACAAAGGAGAATATTCGTAAATTATAGTGGCGTACTGTCCCAAGTCCTCAAAGATATTACAAGTTTCCTATGAATGGCTCTTAAGAAAACACTTTGCTAATCACAGCCGTCAGCTTATTCTAGGATTTAACTAGTCTTAAAGGGTAAAAGATGTCCCTACAGTCCACTCTACTACTCTGCCTCTCTGTTTTCTGAGTGTTACTATCAACGATTGTGTTGAGGTAAGAGAGTGCCCAAGGGTGTTTAAGATGCTATGAGTCACTAGGTTAGCCATGGGATGCTTATAGTCTTATGGGTAAATATTCAATGATCCATGGGGCTGGTCACTACGTTTGAATTTGAGTTCTCCAACTGACTTGTAGCGGTAAATAAATCCCCAAAATAAATACCTCTGTAAGTTTTCGACATTGGATGCTGATCACATGTTTTAATGGACTCACCTAGCTGAAGGCGCTCTGTCATGCATACGCACCAGATCACCTGTGGGAACGCCGTGCTCAACATCTACTACAATCACTAGCCAGACTAGATCAGACAATTCCTATATATTCGCAATCGTCAAATACAACTTCTGATCTCCTCGATTCTGTCTTTTGATTCCTCTTGGTGGATATGAGTTATATTAGAAGGTGTTACTGGTAAAAGCGTTGTCAAACATTGCATACCTGTGCCATCTTCAGATTTGATGGCTAACTTTTTGATAGCCCTGGAAGAGATGCTTGGACCAATTCATGAGATAGTGTATACCAAGAATTGATTACTCACTGAGAGCAAAAAGCATGCTTACAGTCTACTTTATCGCAGCCCATTTCTAATTTTTATGTGCTACCTCAACTTTCATGTTAGAACTGAACTTAAATGGGCATTTCAGAGGACTTCCTGAAATGTCTAGGGTGCTTTAAGTCATTTAGAAGTTGCCTCTGGGTCACGTGCATCCACAAAAAATAAAGATCTAATGATTTAAGAAGTGCCTCGAAACTCTTGGATTTCTGTTTACAATCTGATTCTACGGCGCCACTTTGGATGAACTCCAGACTGTCCTTATTTTCCTGAAGTGAAGCGGGAGACGTTTTAAGAGCACAGTGCGAATAGGGTCGGATAATAGCTGTCATAAGTTATGCTTTATGTTCCACCGTTAAAGTGTTCAAAACGTGTTTCAGAATTACCAATCATTTTTGTAGAGGGATTTACTTGAGATTGGCATATTCTTGAAAGCATACGTTATGTGCTGTCAAGCAGGAGTCTAACCACCTTTTATTATGGACTTCCAATATCTACTTTAAACGAATTGTTCATTTTATTGTTTAATACCATGTATACTCCAAATTATAAACTCACAAGTAAGCCCAGTCTGTTTATCTGATTTCGCCTTATTTGAGTGGAAAGAAATAATAACTAAAAAATTCATGTCAAGTTTTTTTGTTCCCTATGGGATTTTTGTAAAATCTATTATTTCTGCTGTCCTGACATCGTATGGCCTGTCCGGATGCAAGTGGACTCCAATCGGTACTTAAAATCTGTTAGCACAGACCACCTCAACGTGATAGACATCATTTTAGGTGGATGATAGATCCATTTTATCAACCGGTATCTGGCATTCTTAAGTAATCATTGAATCAAGACACCTCGAAATTCTAGGGGCTAGCATGTGGGCTTCCGTTCCTTAACATTATAACCTGAGTCTACAAGGTTCAGGTCATATGGACTCCCTCGTGCCTGTTGAATTGTCTTTGTTACTATCTGTATGGGACATCACAAACTGAATTCGCATTTAGGTGACCAGTGAATTATCACATGGATTAATTTTTGAATAGCTCTACTTCACATTATTCAGTACTGATCTACCTAGCTCTCTGAACTATCAAACTCTCTTTAACTCAGACGAGTTTAGAATGAAGAGGAATTAGCTAACTCAGGTGGCACCTTGACTCTTCAAGGAAACTTACACATGACACATAACTAGGCTACGGAAAATCCACTTTATCTCAATCCATATGAATACGGTGTTAATGATGGCGTCAGTGATTGCTATTCACTACAAAATTCTTAGGAGATCCCACTACAATACCGCTGAATAGGACCTTTAGTGGCCCGTGGATCTGACACCATTTAGATCGTACAAATGTTTGCTATCGCCTATTCTCGTATATCATCGTCGACTTGAATCGCGTTAGTCAATAACGGAATTAAATAAGTCGAATTACGAGAATTGACTTGTGAACACATATATTTTGTACATGAAGCGAATGAAACAGAGCAAAGCAAAATGACACGCAGGAAGATGGCCGGGAAGCCAACTACCTTTTTGTCAAGCGTTACTCAATATTTATAGTCAGACAAAACCAAATTACAGACATGCGATGAGTCATGGGATATGAAGTGTACACACATATAAGCTCATATAAAAACAGTCAAGACTGATAAGCGAATAATTGACAAGGTCAAAATATGACTCAAGCAGAATGAATAGAATGGAATGTCCGAAAGCTAGAATAAGATACATGGGCTTAAAATAATGATTGACACTACAGACCTGAGCGTCACTTTATGTGACAAAATTGGCGTTTATTCCTCTTGGGCAGTCTTCAGTCCGTTATGTATGTTCATTATTAGTATTTATTTCTTGAATGGCCGGAAAACTGATCACCGAACTATTTTAAGCTACTCTCAGCGTTTATTTAAAATCTCATTCGTGAAAAAGGGGCCACGTCCCCCTTTCTTAAAAGACATATTATTATCTTGAAATGTGCCCAGAGAACGGAAACAAGAAAGTAACTCGGACTAAAAACTAAACCCCAATCAGCCTGCCTGAAAACCCTGATCTTATGGCTATCATAGGACTGGAGAACCACTGATACGTCCAAGTAGTAAGTCACATTTAAGATGGAATAAGGAGGAGCTCGTTCAAGTCAGAGCAAACTGTTGCGTGGTTCAAATCAGCAATCTACGAAACCCCTTACTGAAAGCCAAAGTGAGGACACTGTCCACTTAAAGTTTAGAAAAGAGGTTACTTTAGCGCTATGGATACTAAGAAGAATTAGTAAAAGCGTTTCTCCTCGACTTCTTCCATTATTTACTAAATAGCATCATCCCCAGTTGCCGAAAAAATATACTGAAAGTCGTAAACAAGAGCGCTTTCTAACCACTCAGACGCACATTAAACGTAGGAAACAGTTTACTAACTCTAACATGCAAATTAAAAACTCACATCAAATGAAAAAGTTATTATTATATAAGCTCTAAAATTTTGATGACACCGTTCTAACCTCTGTTGCCAGTCACTTTTTCTGTAAACAGGTAGTCACGCCACCTGTTAAATGTCATTATTGCTTTTGTTTGAAACTTTAGAGTTATTTAGATATAGATACTGCTTGATTTGATTCAAGGCCGATGGATTCGGATGCGAAAGTTCTCTCGGATCTTGAGACTCAGTTAGATGTAAGAGATGAGTTGAGATGTATTTTTTCAAGAATATATTTATGGTGCTTTCTTCGACAAGTTTGCATGATTCCGATATCTCAGAATCACAACATGGGCTAAATGATAAACATATGGCATCGCTGCTAGACGCCTGCCGACAAATGGACTCATGGTTTATTAAGAAGCGCCTCGCACTATCAACATACTGTCAGGAATATGCTTTGAAAGAGGTATTAAGAAGTTCATTTTAATGTTGTGCAAGGAGATTGATGCCTTGAATGCTGAGTGCATAAGAAAAGAGAAGCTCGCTCAGGAATTAAAAGGAAGAATAGAAGACTACTCAAAGTCTATTCAAGTTATTATAGATCAGGTACACACACCTTACTGTGGCTAATTTCTTAGTTCTCCAAAGACCTGCCATATTTTGCATAATGGACCTAAATGTTGCTTTTTGGTTGCTGTGCCCTTTTACTGAGATGCTACTTTTTACTTGTATGATTTCAATACATATATTCAAAGTATAGCGTTATTCATTCAACTGTCAGTGGGTGTTCGTGGTATTTTCAAGGTATCGAAGAATCACATGAACTGATTATGTATCAAAGTTTGGTCTTCAGAATGAACTGTTGTATTTGTCACTGATTTATGTTTTCCGTCGACTGGGTTTTTAGTTTGAGCACTGTTCTTGTGTAAGATAATGCCACGCTTCCGTACCCTATCCTTCCGTAGGTACTGTGAGCATTCAAGGAATTTAAATAGAATTTCTAGACAAGTCTAGCTGTTTTATCTACATTTTCAGTAAATATCGTCCCTTCATTCTATTTGCGTATGGGCTGTGATACTGCCCGGGTGCCCAGATCAAAGCAGGTGGTTTCCCTGGGAGGCCACACCCCGAGCATTTTACCTAAAGGTCTTACCCACAGGGCGCTGGAGCATCGTGAGGAGATGCAGTCCCATGGTAGCCGGTGACCATATGACCCGTCAGGATACTGGAGCCTATGTGCACCATTGGTTTGGAATCAGGGTTTCTCAACTCTCCTAGGTGGACTCTTCATGTACACCAACCCGGTTAAAGCGCCGGACATTCGCTTTTTGTCCTCTCAATTTCGTAAACAACACCCCCATCACGAGAAAGCAGTGAGTAGGAATCCCCTGGCAGGGTCTATATACGCGTAGCCATGTGAGAGCATTTCGAGAGGGAGAGCGAACTCTCCCCACTCTCGGCCGTACCAGGGCATTTGGGGGCAATCTTCCTGAAATTATAATTATTGGATATGTTACACGACGGATAAAGTCTAACTATTTTAATTTTATACGATGAATACCAATGTTATATTTCTTGAAAATAGAACTGTTGGATTCTATCAAGTAAAAAAACTTGTCTATACCTTTTGGTCAATCATCTTCAACCCTCCGATGTCGAACATAACATACTATTGAGTTAATGAGCTCAGAGGTAACGTTACGACTATCTATCACGCTATTTGTTTTGAAGTTTTAAAGGTATAAACATAGTAGTAATTAATCTGTGTAAGTTTAGTAGAGATGTAGGTGATCGAAATCATTCTCACATAAAGGCAGTGAATTTAAATAGCATATACAACTTCAGAGAACCTGTATCATATTTCTTGTTTAATGATAGTATTCTTAAAATCGATAATCCAGCTACTCGAGACTATCCGTTTGGAACAACTTTCAACATACGGACTGCTGAGCAACTTGAGGAATATAAGTTTACACAGAATTAAGGTAAAAATCAACAGGAGGATAAAGCATTGCGAAATAAATTTATAATAAAGTTGTTGCGAATGTTGTCCAGGTGATTAAAGAGGCTGAGCGAGTTGAATAGTTTCACAATTATTGTTTACTATGTTTGTGTGAACTGGGGTAATGTACGAAATCTCAGTGAAATGGGTGATTTCCTTAAAAAACTCCCTGAGCTTTCGACCTAGTCAGTTATCTGCAGCGTAGGACAAGGCACATCTAAGCATCGGTCCAAGTTGTCATACCTCATTAGCACAACAAGATGAACAACAAATAGGAGCAGTTGCTTCATTGTTAGTAATACATACAAATAAAGATTGCATGTACGAGTATGATACAGAGAGAAAGAATCGGTCCTTTGGCCTAGAGATCTAATTCATAAAGCAGAGAAACAGCAACAGGAGATGGAGTCCTATAGTAGTCAGCGGCTAGGATATATTCGTGTGTCATTCATCCACTCAAGATCTCACAGGCTATGTATACTGTCGATTTGAAAACAGGTTTCTTTAGCTCCCTCGAATGGACTCCGTATCCGTCAACTAGGTTTGTCGACATGACACTTACTTTTCGCTCCCACACGTCTGTAAAGACCACAAAAAGTCTGTGAGTAGTAGTTCTATGGCATAAGCTACAAGTGGGTGGCTGTATGAGAGAATGGTGTGGGGTACAGGGGACTCTTCACCCTCAAATACAACAAGTGGTTTAGAGATAGTCGATAGTTAATCACAACAGTCATTCTCGATATAGCATATTAGATCAGAACTCCTGGAACTAACCTAAGTAATATTCATTTTTGTGTAGCATCTTCTGTTAATACATTGTGCTGACTACCAAAAAATATACTTTCACCTTAAGGTACTAAAAAATTCTCATTAGCTGCGTAGGCTGGTGCGCTCTGACCGTTTAATTTTCCGGTTGAAAACATTATTTGTGGACAGAGTTCTGAGGATTCACGTCGAATTAACTGTATCTAGTGCTTTACCTCTGGACAAATGAAACTGGGAACATCTTACTGGACTTGGTACAACGTTACTGTGATTTGTAGCTGACCATATACTGGGTGTTTATCGCATCTAAATGAATGTTTACAAAAGAAATACGGCCTCGATTAATTATCGGCCAAATAAATAAGAAATATAAAACTAACAAGGTGGGATTTCTAGAGTAATGTCTATGTTCGAGGACAGGTAGTAAGGAGGTTTATAAGTAATCAACGTAGTCATTGGCAGTGTGTCAATGGCATAGTTTTATGCGTCTCTCAAACCATAAATGTTTTCACAAAATATACTGTAAAATCGTTAACTGGAATAAAATATGGTTCAAATCACTACCCTAAGGTGGTCAGTTGCAGGAAACTTTCATAAGTCTTGGTTTCCTAAACAGAAGTGTCGGAGTCATTTGCACATACTAGATGTGAACCTGTCAAAAAACCCAGAATATTAGTTTCTGTGTGACATTTAGGAACATGTTTCTCAGTCACTCCTTAGATGTAGTACACAAACATACTGGTGGACGGATTAAAAAGTTCTCTGAGTTGTTCTAATAATTCATTGGATGAAAATCAACAATAACCAGTAGATTAAAGGTGACTGTTGGGGGATTTTTGCGCACCAAGACATGGTTGTGATATTTGCAGTGTTATAATTAAAATACCATGTTAACTCTTGGAGAGGGCAATATAGTTCCAAAGGTGGTATTACCAATATATCAGCCGAAATACGGATTAGCTAAAATAAATGCAACTGAAAATAAATATTTTCATATTGGTCTATGAATTAAGCGTATATGCTACCAACGATGCTATCTAGTCATTGACAGTGGAGCCGCAAAGTATCGTAATGACAAAACAAATAAACAGTGCAGCATCTAAAATATTTACTTTATACTCGGACGAGTGATACCATACAGCTGCTCAGACAAAAGCAGGTGGAGTAACGTTGGCAGTATCTTGATCCCATAGACCAAACGTTGGAATATAAACCATTAATTTGTAAGTTCAAATCTTACCTAGTTTATTATCGGTTGCGAGTAGTTTTCAAACTCCAAAGATATTATCTTGTATATAGTTGTTAATTTACAATAGTACATAAGGAATTTATTTTATCTCATTTGTCATGCGAAAGTTGCTTGGTCTAGGAGAGTCTCAGGAGATGTACCACACGAAATAAAATGGAGTTATGAAGAAACCAAAAAGAAAATCGGTTAGTGTTAAAAGAAGAGTAGGAATATAAAATGATATCATTATAATTAGAAAGATGGTTTCCGCTTGTCTCAAAGGTGTGTTTGACTGTCTGCGAATAGCATAGCAGAAAACTGCTGTACTGTTGCCACTAAACAATGTCAGGAAACATATCAATTCACGGACATATGAGACCTCTAGAATCTCACTTAAGCATACATAATATACAAACAAATACTCATCTAACATAATCATTGCGGATTTTGTTGTACAAAAGCAGACCAAACACCTCCCTCTTTAATCTACTTATTTCCAGAGTCATCAAATAATACATTTGTGAGTTTGAAATAATGTAACAAAATGGTACTAATCCCATTATGTCCAGAACTTCGACATGACACGATCAAGAACTCAAATTCAAAGTACGCAGTATGATATTGTATTGTATTATTATGATCGATTTAAACACAACATTACATATTTAATTGCAAGGTAAATGTATTGGTTATTCACCACAACATTCTATGGAGTCCGCTTTTGGTCGTATGTGGAACACATCCAACCCATTAATGTCAGTGCTTCATAATAAAATTACTTATCGGAACACAGTCTTCATTACAACCAAGCATATACTGCTTTGTCTAACCATTTCCTATAAAGTATAGCTTATGTGCACGAATAATGCTTTGTACCAGCAATAATCGAAAACCTGATGTAAAACTTCATTTCATGATATAATGTATAAAAATCTAGACCTTACATTCCTTATCCATAATTACACTGAATATATCAGCATATGTGGCTGTTAATCATTGTTTGAATGAGTTATTCTCCTTTCATGCCCATCCAAGTTATCTGTAGCTTATCTGAACATTCAGGAAAACACCTCTTCTACCGCTACTGTGTATAGAGTAGGTCAAATATAAAATAAAGGAGTCTAGAATTATTTTAATTACATAACAAATTGTTCAAGTAAAGCTTTTATGTGTGTGTGTTTTGTAACACACAAAAATGTATTTCAATACCACCATGATCAATTGTATTATTCTCTTTTGTTTTTGGTCATGATTATTTCTCACATAAAAACTAATTTGCATTCCACGGTTGCCATTATTGTAAAAGTAAGTAAACAAGGTAGCAACTGTCGCCATCAGTAATAATTTTAGATGCTTTCACGCTGTTTTTTTAGAACGAATACTTGTTTATTATCCTTTATTCCCAATATATATCAAGAAATATCTCAGTATATACAGTGATATATACATAATTATCATTGCACTTTTGCTATTTTAAATGGTCAGAGTACTTTTTTGAAGTAAATCCATTTTTATTGTATTGTTTACTGGTGAGTTGGTCGGTTAGGAGTTTCATAAATACAGATAAAGTAAAGTAAAATTATTTAATCACTTTACACTAAGTGTATTAAGTTGTAGCGTGGCGTCGAGTTGTGATTAACTATGAACACCGCTACCAAGAAACACGTGCCAAATAGATCAGAAGGCGTAAGAAGCTCGTTCCAAATGACTCCATAAAATCCCGAGAAGCCGAATACCAGAAGGCAATTAATGGACCAAGTCGAGTTATATTTGCTGGCGATCTCGTGGCATCGAAAGGATACCGAGATCGTGCCAGGATACAACCTTGGTTACAGAAGGTAACCGAATTCGCGCGAAGTTACAATCGAAGTGTAAGTATAAGAATGGAAGCACAAAATAGCTGTCATTAGCACAGTCAAACAAAAGCACATTAAAACAAACACTGGTACAGTTGGTTATAATAATAATTGTTTTTATTAAA